ATTACATAGAAAAAAAGAAATCTAAAAATTCAGAGTAAGGACAGCAGAAGATTTCATGCACAACTAACTCAGGCTGTTTAGTGGTGATTTTGCAGATACGTGCAATATTACTTTCCAAAGGAGAAAAAGTGGTCCCTGAGCCATTCAGAGCACAGCGATGATGGATCTGGTTCCAGAAGACAACAGCATGCACAGCCACAAGGCTCTGGGGTGTTTTATCATTTGTGATCTCAGCATTAAGTTTTGTTTCTTGATAAAAAGAAAAATGATTCTCTCAAGCCATGAAAATGAATTCCAAGATCTTACTCCTAAAAGATAACGCCAAAAAAAGCAGTCTATATTTCTTTGCCTACTGACCTATGCTTGTGTACAAAATAGAAATACATTCATTCGAGATCGTACGCTCCAAGCAGAACTGGTAACATTAGAAAAAAAAGAAATTAAAGAAGAGAGCGGGCCCACCCATGACCTAGAAAAGAGAGTTATCGATGCGGTCTTGTGCAAAAGATTTCTTTGTTTTAAAATTTGGAAGAACAGCTTCCTTCTTCATAGCCAGTGTGCTCATGTCCAGAAATGACCTCATGCAGCCCATGAAGAAACTGTCAAACTAAAAGCAATGCCACCATCAGCTTTACGAATGATTTTTGTATAAGCATTTCTTACATTTTGGAGGGTATAAAACTAAATATAGAATAAGCCCAAAGAAAGCTTCTAATGGTCCACTCCTCCGTGTTTCAATGCTACAGTCCTTTGGGGGATGGAATTGTATGATGAGGGATGTAAGTGATCCGTTTATTTATCCTGATAGACAATGGATAGAGTGCTTTGGATATTTGCTACAAAGTTTCGATACTCCCACAGGCACATTCCCACTGCTACTAAGCTCAAAGGTTTTTAGAACCAGGGAAAGATGGCTGACAAGTGATTCTGTGCATTATGGTTGTGCCGGTAGAAAAGAGCAAGGTTGTGAGTTATTGACACAAACCAAACAATCCGGTGAGTGTGTGTTAATGTGTTGAGGGTGGGGAAACCTAGGCTTTCTGGGATAAACAAATTCAAAGCAAGGAAAAATAGATTTATTTTGCAATTTTGGACTAATTGAGAGCATCTGTTAGTGGGCAGGAAACAATGACTGGAGGAAATTGTTTATTCCTATTTGGGGGAAGGGTTGGGAGTTGTTGGGAGAGGGGGAAGGCAGAAAATGGTGTCTGGACAGAACGTGTACCCAGTCACAGCAGAGTGTGTGGGCATCAGACACCGTGTTGGAGCAATGCCTTCCCAGGGAGCAGGAGTTCTACAAGTCGGGGCAAGGGATGCCATCCACATGCCTCCCCTCAGGAGCCTCATGCAATTTGCCTGGTCCTCAGACTCAGCTCTGCTTCAAAAGCAGCAGAAGTCCATTATACTTTGTGTGGTGATGTTTAAATTCAGATATCCCATGAAATAATTGCATTTTTAAAAATGGGGAGGATTTCTGTTCCCATTCTGGATAAGCACACCCCCAGCCCATATCTCCTGCTGAACACAGCAATAAATCCTAGACAGATGCATGGAGCAGTTATTTGAGGAATCTTAAAAGTAAACAGTAGCAGGCAGATTGAGGAAAAAGACCAGAATTCAGAGGACCAGGGAACTAGCCATGAGTTCACCACTGCTTTTCCTTCTGGGATCCCTTCCACCCCCACTCAAGGCTGCCTGGCAGTGGGCACTGGCACAACCAGAAGTTTCCAGGCTCAAGGAGGGATGGCATCCCGTGCTCAGAGAGTGGAAAAAATCCTCCTTTTTTTTTCCTTTCTCCATGCTTGCATCCCAGGTCCCAGGCAATCCCACTGAGGAGGTAGAAGTCACAGAGGGGGCCGGGAGCCACCTCAAAGTCTGAGGAAGAGGGAGCTTCTTCTCTCATCGGAGGCTGGGGCCTCCAGAGGGTGAGGGGAGCCCCCATGGACCATCATTGTCTGCCTCTCTTCTCCCACAGCTTGGCCTTGAACTCAAGTCCAGCCACAGGAAGTATATGGACGAGCATGGACAGAGCCGGAGTAATTAAAGCCCAGACTTTCTGACCAGAGGTTCAGAAACCACAGGAAACTCTATGGTACTGGGGCAACCGGGAGAAGGAGTCGCTTAGGAAAGCAACCCCATGGAGCGCTTTGTAAAGTCTTGGGTTCACTGTGGAAATGCACATGCCTGGATCTGACCCTGGTTAGTATTTCCAAGGCACTGAGAACTGAGATGACAACAGATTGTGTGGCATGCACGTGGGACATGGCTGAAACACACTGCAGAGACTCTGAAAACAGAGCTGCCGTGGAATTCATACCCCACAGAGGGCTGGTTTGAACTCAAGGCCCAGACCCCACTACCAAGTTAAGTGCCTGTTAAAACAGATATATCAACACTATCCACAGTCTTTTTTTTTTTTTTGAGTTGGAGTCTCACTCTGTCACCCAGGTTGGAGTGCAGTGGCATGATCAAAGCTCACTGTAGCCTTGGCCTCCTGAGCTCAGGCGATCCTTTCACCTCAGCCTCCTGAATGAATAGCTGTGACTACAGGCATGTGCCACCATGCCCAGCTGATTTGTGTGTTTGTGTGTGTGTGTGTGTGTGTGTGTGTGTGTGTGTGTGTGTGTGTGTAGACAAGGTCTCACTACATTGCCTAAGCTGGTTTCCAACTCCTGGGCTCAAGCGATCCTCCCGCCTCAGCCTCCCAGAGTGCTAGAATTATAGTCACGAACCACCGCATCTAGCCTTAGAATCTTTTAACATAATATTTACAATATCCAGAATACAATCCAAAACCACTAAGCATATGGAAGAATCAGGAAAATTCCACTGGTGTGGGAAAAAGATAATCAAGAGATGCTAATGTAGGCATGACACACATGTTGAACTTTTTGACAAAAACTTAAGAACAACTGTTATAAAGTACTCCATGAGTCCTCTCTTGAGACCAATAGAAAGAAAGTTTCAGCAAACAAACTGGAGGCATAGAGAGCCAGATGGAAATTTTAGAAGAGAAAAAATATAATAACCAAAATAAAAATCTCAGTGGATGGATTCTATAACAGGATGAATACAACATAAGAAAGAGTCAGTGAACTTGATGACGGACCAATAGAAAGCATCTAATCTGGACAACAAAGAGAAAAAAAAAATGATTTGAAAGAAAAGACAAGTCCCTGCATTAAATACCAAGAGACCTAACATTTATGTCATTGATATTTCAGAAGAGGAGGAAATGAAGAGCAGACAAATATATTTAAAGAAATAATGGCTCCAGGCGAGATGGCTTACGCCTGTAATCCCAGCACTTTGGGAGGCCAAGGTGGGAGGATTGTCTGAATCCAGGAGTCTGAGACCAGCCTGGACAAGTTGCTGAGACCTCATCTCTACAAGAAGTCTAAAAATTAGCCGGGCATGGTGGCACACGCCTGTAGTCCCAGTTACTCCAGAGGTTGAGGTAGAAGGATCACCTGAGCCCAGCAGGTTGAGGCTGCGGCAGCCGTGATCGTGCCACTGCACTCCAGCCTGGACCACAGAGTGAGACTCTGACTCAAAAAAATAAACAAGCCGGGCTCGGTGGCTCAGCCTGTAATCCTGAGCCTTTGGGAGGCTGAGGTGAGTGGATTGCCTGAGCCCGCGGGTTCGAAACCCACCTGGGCAACTTGGTGAGACCTCATCTCTACAATAAATCAAAAATTAGCCAGGCATGGTAGCACACGCCTGTAGTTCCAGCTACTTGGAAGGCTGAGGCAAAAGGATCGCTGGAGCCCAGCAGGTCGAGACTGCAGTGGCCGGGAACAGCCACTGTACTCCAGTCTGCGCAACAGGGTGAGACTCCGACTCAAAAACAAAAAAGAAAAAGAAAGAATGACTGAAAGACCCCTAAATTTGACAAAAGACATAAGCCTAAAGATAAGAAGCTCAGCAAGCCCCTAAGAGAAAAACTCAAAGAATTCCAAACCCCTACACATCACAATCAAACTGCTGGAAACTGAAGACAACTACAACAAAAAGATGAGCCTCTGTTCATCTTGTGACAGACCTGGCCATGGCCAAGGTCAGATGGCAAGGTGAGAAAGGGCAGAGCCAGCCCATCCTGTGGGGGTCACTTTCCCGGGGGCCTCACCCTTCATGACCCAGTCCCACCTCTCCAAGCCCATCTGCTAAATGTCTCTGGCGGCAGACAGCAGGCAAGCTGAAACTCAAATCCAGAGCAATCCCCATCAATCTGCCGCCCCCACATCATTACACAGAGTGTAGGCTGCGAGGCGAGGGAACCAGAAATCAAATCAACTCTGACAAGAAAAAATGCACTATAACTCAAGCAGGCCCTGACAACTTTTAGGGAGGAATAAAGAAAAAAAGCAAAGGACAAGGAGGAGCACCACTCCGCTCTAGATATATTCTCTGAGCTATCCTGATAGGTTGAAAAGAATGGCTAAACACACTTAGTTGGGTTTTGTTCTTGAACTGATACTTTTTAACTCCACATTTTCTGGGTATGTCAAAGTGGTTCAAATGTGAATGAGACTGAAACACACAAGGGGATGACTAAGAAAATCAAACTTATCTATTTTAGGTTTTTATCACAGGCAGTTGAAAGAAGTCAAAATTCCTAGAGTAGATCCAGTAAAGCCAGAGGGTTTCATGATGTAGGAACATACAGAGTAAGGATTCGAATGTCAAAACATGGGCTTCACTGAGGTAGGATATCAGCCAGGAAAGGGGGAGGAGGAGTTGCCTTTGTATTATGAAAGTAAGTTTATAGAAGAATGTTTGCCCAGGAGAGCAAATTGAAATTTACAAAAGCATTAACCACACGTTTAAGGATTCTCTCTCTGTCTCTCTCATACATACACACACACCCACACACACACACACACACACACACACACACACACACACCTCCTCATACATGCTCACACTATTCAAAATATATAAGGTACCTGGACTTTCTGGGACTCACAATCCTAGAAGTTGAACATCATCTGAATCAATACCAGTCTGCTGTGTTCATGGACTTGCTTCAGCCGGAAAACACCAATCAGGTACCATCCCCCCATTATCGGTTCCTGAAACATTAGCCTCTCGAATGGTAGGTCTACAGGACCCCTATAAACTCATTTCAGAGATGCTTTGAATCCTGAATAACTGACAAAGCCAAAGGAAAACGGGAGTTGGCAGAGAGCAGGAGAACATAAAAGCCACTAGGAGGGAAGGAGAGGAATGGAGATGGAAGCAGCAGAGAGGAGGGCATGAGAGAAGGAAGAGGAAAGTGGGGCTTTCCCTCAACACCTGCACAGCAATATCCTTCCTCTCCATATGTGCACCTGTGCCCCAGGGCTGTCCACAGATGGTCCCAAGGCCTGTTTGAAGTCCTTGACTTCATGCAAACCAGGGAGAACGTTTCGGTTCTAAATTGTAAACCAGAAGTTATTTTTATCATCAAAAAGAATTAAAATATCTCAACCAGAGTCACCAAGTACAGGGGAACAGGAATTGTGGCAGAAAGGATGCATCTCAAAATCCACCAGAGCCCCTGAAACACAGAGCAGCAGTATCCTGCAGCCACCCGAAGGCCGACCAGGGGACACGGCCTCCTGTTGCACAAGACACTGATGGGAAGCAAAGGTCGCTTTGGAAGTCAACTCCAGGCACTAGGTGATGCTTGAATCGTCTCCTTTCAGAAGTGGACAAAAGCAAGCAAGACAGACGGCACTCTGCCATGAGCTGAGCAGCCCAGTGGGTGCAGGGGTCAGAGAGCCAAGTCACACATGGTTCACCACACTGTTAGAGCTGCATCGGGGTCCTCATGAGGCTGTCACCTCCCACTGGACATGTCTCTGGAAGCACAGAATGGTGGGTGCATGTATTTCTGTTTTTAGCATGCATTCATTCATTAACTCTTCCGTCACTGTCACAATGTCCCCGTTTTACAGTGTCCAGTCTCACTCTCTGACCCTTAGAGAGTGACATTGTGTTTGGTAGCCTCAGTAAGTTCTGTCTGACAATTAGAGAAAAGTGTCTGGTTCTGGGACATTCCTTGCATGATTCTGTATTTATAGAACATTTTTCTGTCTGGCTGCGCTGTAAGTTATAGTGGCTGACGCAGTAGAGGAAGCTGTGTAAATGCTTCTTTCTAATCTGTGGGAAGCTGCCAGCAGGGCAAAACAAGGCAGCAGAGCTGGCTGGACTCCTCTGGAACCAAAAAGCACTTCAGCCTAAATGGAAGGAAAAGTTTATAAGCTTCATCACTAAGTGGTCCTTTTCGGGACCGTAAGGAATTGCAAAAGGAAGCAGACCTTTTTAGAGTCCATTATAATTGGATTTGCCTCTGCGCATCTCTCTGGACTCAGGGTTCTTTGGTGAATGGGGCTAAGAATCTCCAATATTAGAAGCAAAGTCACTAAAGTGGCAACTGACCTTGGCCCAGCCCTCTCCCGCCCACATCAGACTAGAAATAACAAGGGGACAAGTTGTACAAATAAATTCAGTAGATCTAAACCAACTGAATCTTGAACATATTTCTGAAGTGTATGAGAAAAGACTAACGTTCTTTGCATTAAAGCAAAACAAACAAACTTCCATTCACAAGGAAGGCCTTAAAGAAAAAACAGGTTACAGAATCTAGAAGACACAAAATATTTCAATCTTTCTTGTAACTTGTTTTGTACCTGTGGGGAATCATTGCATTTTTATTTTTCTATTTTTGTTTTGGAGATGGGGTAGGGGGAATCTTGCTATGTTGCCCAAATTGGGCTCAAACTGCTGGGTTCAAGCTATCCTCCTGTCTTGGCCGCCAAGTAGCTGGGATTACAGATGCACGTCACCCTGCCCATCGTGTTTATATGGAATCATTGTATTAAAAGGGACTTTAAGCCGGGCTTGGTGGCTCAGCCTGTAATCCCGCACTTTGGGAGGCTGAGGTGAGTGGATTGTCTGAGCCCGCGGATTCGAGACCCGCCTAGGCAACTTGGCGAGACCTCATCTCTACAACAAACCAAAAATTAGCCAGGCATGGCAGCGCACACCTGTAGTTCCAGCTATTTGGAAGGCTGATGCGGAAGGATCGCTGGAGCCCAGCAGGTTGAGGCTGCGGTGGCCGGGAGCAGCCACTGCACTCCTGTCTGGGCGACGGAATGAGACTCCAACTCAAAACAAAGGGACTTTAAGGATAATCTGGTCCAACTCCTTCATAATATAATTGAAGAAAAATGAAATTCAGAGAGGTGAAATGGCATGCCAAAGTCACCGTGGTAGGAGGTACAGGAATGAGATGTGCCCCAGGCCTCCAGGCTGCCAGCTTCATACTTTCCCTACTACCCTACGCTACTTCTGTGCCAGGTCTCAGAGTTTCACCTTCCCCATTCCTAGTTTTCCTGATAATATAGATAGGACATGTACAGTAGTACTTCAGAAGGGATTCCCAGGTAAGAACCACAATGGCTGGTTTGCGTGGCTGAACTCATTGATGTAATGACTAAGAAATTATTTATCCATAAAGTGTGGAACACATGAAAAAGTTCACCAGCGTGTCTGAAAATGTCATAGATGATTAATTCTTGATGAGTTAAAAAGGATTAGAGTGTGTCAGGATTCAGGCCTTTCTGATGAATGGTTGTGGTATACACAAGTAGAGGCCGGGCCAGCCTGAGATCCTGCATGACAACCACAAGCTGAGACCTTGTCTCTCACCCCCACCAACCCATTCTGGACATGTAGCATGAGCGAGAAATAAAAGTTTGTTATTTTAATCCTCTGAAACTTGAAATCGAAACAACCATGTGGGTGTTTGTTACTGCAGCATAACCTTGCCTCTCCTGACTGATACACGCACCTAAAGGGCACTTGGTAAAAGATGGATGTTGTTATTATGAACACATCCCCACAGAACCTTCCCGAAGCCACTCCATCAGTGAATGGTAGGCTAGAACAGATCATTAGTCTTATAGAGATGGTTGGAGAGGGAAAGAAAATATGTGTAACCAAGCACTAGTCAGCGTCAAGATTAGACTCAGAGAAGTTAGGCAGTGCTCAGGTAAAGACCTAAGGAAGGCCAGGCGCAGTGGCACGAGCATGTAATCCCAGCATTTTTGGAGGCTGAGGCAAGAGGATTGCCTGATTCCAGGGGTTCGAGACAAGCCCAGGCAACTTGGTAAGACCTCATCTCTACAGTAAGCTTTTTAAAAAAAATTAGCCAGACATGGTGGCGCATGCCTGTAGTTCCAGCTATTTGGAAGGCCGAGGTGGGAGGATCGCCTGAGCCCAGCATGTCAAGGTTGTGGTGGCCATGTGTACTCCAGCCTGGACAACAGAGTGAGACTCTGATTCAAAAAAAAAAAAAAACCTAAGGAAATTCTGGTTACAAAATAAATCCTACTCCCAGGTCTACTTTATAAGGGCATCCTGTCCCTAACACACTGTCCCAGGCCTTTTCCTCCTGCCAAGAATTCTTTCCCTTATTCACCAGTGCCAATTCTACTGATTCTTTGGAGCCTAGTTTTAGTCCCACACACCTCCCTCAAGTTTCCGAACCCCCCCAAACCTCTATGTGAAGATAAACCATGCAAAGCAGGCACTTCAGCAATGATTGCTTTTACTCTTCATTTTATACTTAATCAACTGTTTGGTATCATCTGTTTCAGGGGTGTCAATTTTGCTTTTCTAACCAGACTGTAAGCCTTGTGAAGGCACCATGTGTTTTACTTCTTGACAGTCTCCCACAGAAATGATTCCAAGGGACATTTTACACTGATTTAAATGCCAGGACGGAAAGAATATAATATAATTCTTGGGGTTGAGGACAATTTTTTTTATTACTTTGAAAGAAATTAGGGAAATTCACTAACTGGGCTTTATAGTAATTCCTTAGTCTAGCTAAATATAAATCCCCTTTCTTCAGGTAATGATAAATCATTATATTATCCTAAATGTCTTCCATTTAGCTTTGTTCCAATTAAAATACAAACCAAAGCTGACAAGTAGTTTAGCAGGAATCTAACGAGAAACTGCAAGAAAGTATTTTTGAGAATTTAAAACACTTCATTAGAAATTAGCATTTGTTTTGCTAAATATTTACATGCCAGTGATCATCAACTTTAAGCTAAATCTGTACATAAGTTGCTCTGACAAGTCATAAAGTTAGGTCTTATCCAAATCTGTTTAAGAAGATCACAGAGCTTTTCTTTAATGTTGAAACTTAGTTTTCATAATTCCAAAGACTGTTGGTCTGTAACCTTAGAACTATAAATATTTGTTACTGTAAATGTTATTTGTTAAATGCAGAAAAAGTAGTTGTTCAGAGAAAGGTAAAAACCATGTTTGTCATGGGAGATTGATCCCACAGAGATAACCTCAGAGATAACCTTCTGGCTGTAACTGCTCTGGTCTGCTCCTTATCATTCATTCTGTATAACGATGTTGTGCAGATTCTCTTAAGCAAGCGCATTCCTCCCTGGAGAAATGCATTTTACAAGTAAAATAACGTCAGTCCAATAGGCCTTAAAACACAGTCCACAATTCTTACTTTCTTCAACATATATTCCATAGAAGTCTCTTAACCTGTTTCCACAAAATCCCCTCAGAATTGTCCCTGACTATGGTACCGCCTCTGTTAACAATTTAGTGGCTCAGCCTGTAATCCCAGCACTTTGGGAGGCTGAGGCGAGTGAATTGTCTGAGCCCACAGGTTCAAGACCAGCCCAGGCAACTTGGCGAGACCTCATCTCTACAATAAATCAAAAATTAGCCAGGCATGGTAGCACACGTCTGTAGTTCCAGCTACCTGGAAGGCTGAGGTGGAAGGATTGCCTGAGCCCAGCAAGTCGACGCTGGGGTGGCCGTGAGGGTGCCACTGCACTCCAGCCTGGGTGACAGTGAGACCCCAACTCAAAAAAAACAACAAAAAACAGCTTAGCTTATTTACCTGGGAGTCATTTGATTTGTTGCCAAGTCCGTTCATGTCCATTGTACAAGTTCTCGCAATGACATGATTTAATTGAAAATTAGGTAGACTCATGAAATGTGGGTACACAAAGAAAATGAGTTCTGTTTTCGATAAAAA